CTGAGGACCCTTCCAACTCTATTCAATAAATCTGTCATCTTGACCATCCTCCATCCCCTGCGATACGGTGTCTCCCACTATATAAATAAATGTCAGATACAAATAGACACACGAAAGTGTGTGCGAGTAATTTGATCCGCAGTAAACACTGTCCCTGGGCTTTTGATACAGAAGAGAACAGAGGAGGTTCAAAAGGAGACACAGAAAAGCAGGACAGCTTTGAAACTAACATGTTGAATGTATCCTAGTCTTTAAAAAGAAATGCAAGCTATCTGTACTGGATACAAGATTTCATGAACCTTCCTCCTGTTCTCATAGGTGTGTGTATATCTAAATAAAATTTCAAGCTTTAGATTTATCAAGTGCAGAAGAAAAAATATGCATATATACATATGTGTGTGTACATACATACATGCACAAATATATATGTATAGATAGATTATAATCATGTACCTGAGTTTGTTTAGGCATCCTGTGGTCAGTTTTATCAGACTTTTCACATACACATATATGTATGTTTGTACGTATATGTATGTATGTATGTATGTGAATATATGTGTGTATATAATATTTCTAAAACAAATAACATATAAATATATATTACATTTATAAAATAAATGATACATAAATATATTTCTAAAATAACATATAATTTGCTTATAAAATATATAATATACAAATGTGCTATGTATTACATATAAATTTACATATTTATATACATACACACATTTTTATGAAAAGTCTCTGAGAGGGGCAGTTACGTGGCACAGTGCATAGAGCACGGCCCTGGAGTCAGGAGGACCTGAGTTCAAATCTGACCTCAGACACTTGACACTTACAAGCTGTGTGATGCTAGGCAAGTCACTTAACCCCAAATGCCTTCCCAAAAAAGAAAAGAAGAAAAAGAAAAAAAGAAAGAAAAGTCTCAGAAACAGAGTCAATGTCCTCTGAGTGGAAAACGGCTATACAAACTCAGGTGCACGGTCATAATGAGAGAAATGACAAATATGAAGAATTCAGAGAATCTTGGAAAGACTTCCACGTACTAGCACAAAGTCAGGTCAGTAGAACCAAGACAAGAACATTCACCACGACGACACCAATATCAGCAGAAAGGACCACAAAACAATTTAAACCAAATGCTGTGAAATTACAATGACCACCTTTGGCCCCAAAGAAGACGCACCCCAGGCACCTCCCTCTGCTTTGCTGAAATGTGGGACCACGGTTGAGGGAAGCTTGCAGATGTCAGGGTTTTTCAATAGTTTGGTCAGCTTTGCTGAAAACCTTTTTTCCTCTTTTTTATTCTTTATTATAAGGGATGGCTCTATGGAGAGAGGTAGGTGATGTAAAAATTTTAAAAATACAATTTTATTCAAAAGAAAATGTTTCCAGGGCTTCCAAGAACTATGTTATACGTACTTTAAATATTCCTTTCCATTTTTCCCAACGGTCACATTTTGTCACAGTTCCCTTTTCTAAAACAAGGATACCACATGATGGAAAAAGGTTTCAGTTAGTCATGGTGTGATTCACAATTACACAGCCCTTCCTGCTCACCATTCAGCACCAAAGCCATCATATCTCCTTTCTTGTGGCTTCTAAAATGCCTGCTCAAGGAAACGAGCATCAGTCTTGGCTAAAATCCTTGCTCAACATCCCATTTCAGTGAAAGATTTATCTCTAAGATTTGTGGACCGATGCTGGCTTCTTAATCACTTCTGGATAACTGCAGTCCCCTATTCTGTCTCTCACTGTGGTCACCCTCCGCCCCCTCCCCCACTCCCTCTTCTAAGCATCTTCCCCACGTGTGGTGCTCCCAAAGATAACTGCTCTCTGCTAGAGTTCCCACTAACTCCCTAACAAGGAGAACACAACTGTTGTGAGCGGGGCTGAATGACTGGCACCGATGGAAAATCTTCTCTCATTGACTCTTCCCCCAGACAAAAAAATCTTGCTTCTAATGACAAAGAAATGCTACTTCTAACACACAAGGAGGTTGGGACGGGGGCTTCCTCTGCTGGGTGCCAAGGGGAGGGACCTTGTGAAAGACTGTCACACCCACCTGGGCAGAACCTGTCATCGCGAAGCATAGCATCACTTACTAGGCAAGTTCCCTGGGGAAGTCTAATACAGAAGGAAAGGACCCACATGTGCGCAAACACGGAGCAGATTTTTGCTTTGTGGCAAAGGGGATCACCATCAACTGTGACTGGCTAAAAACATAACATGTATGTAACGGAATATTATCACCCCATAAAAATAATGGAAGGCACAACTTCAGAGAATAATAGTAATGATGATAGACAGACAGATAGCACTTACGCAATGCTTTGAGATTCGCCAAGTACTTTATATATATTAACTCATTTGATCCTCATAACAATCTTCGGAGGTCGATACTATTTTTATCCCTGTTTGACAGATGAGGATAATGAGGCACAGAGAGAGGTCCCGTATCCTGCCCAGGGTCACACTGCTGGAAGGGTCTGAGGCAGAATCGGAATTCAGGTCTTCCTGACCCAGGTGCTGCCTTCTATCCACCGCCCCACCAAGCTGCCTAGACTTCGGGAGACATATATGACCTGATGCCTGGCCAAGCAAACAGCCAAGGCAACAATTTACACGAGGACCACAACAATAGGAAGGAAAACTCTCTGAAATGGAACTTCAGAATGCTGACTGATGTCATGAGAGACCACAATTTCAGACACGAAGCTACACAAAACTTTACTCCTCTGGAATCCAGCCCAGGAATCTATTTGTGATTCCTCCAACATGCCACTCCAAATCCATCTCCCACCTCCACGCCTTTGCCCTGGCAGTGCCCCATGCCTGGAATGTTCTCCCTTCTCCCCTCAGCCTCCTGGCTTCCTTCAAGACTCAGTTCAAATCCCACCTCTGGCCCTCAGCTGCTAATGTCTCTTTTCCGACTATCTCCTACTTACTCTGTATATATTTTTGTACGTACCTCATTACTTACATGTTGTCTCCCCCATTAGAATATGTGCACCTTGAGGGCAGGGGCTTGTTTTTTGGCTGTAGTTTTGAGTCGCTCTCTCTCTTTTTTTTTTTTTGCCTTTTTGTATCTTCAGCACTTAGCTTAATAAATGCTTGTTGCCTGCCTCCTTTTGTGCCTGATCATTCACAGCAGGTAAAGGTTGGGTTTTTTCACGATTCTTTCCGCCTCTGTATGCTAACAAAGGGCAGCCCTATGTAACTCCTCTGAGGCACAACCCAGAATGGGAGGACGGTGTGTAGACCAGACGGACAGCTCGGATCAGCGCTCCTTCCCCCCCAGACGAAGTGGGCATGGGCAGAGAAGAGCAAGGGCAAGCCCAGCACTTTTGCCCCTGGGTAACAGTCAGGGTTAGGATTAAGAGGTATCGGGGTCATTTACTTGTCCAATATAAGGTACTGAAATACTCAGGTGCCCATAGTGAATAAGAGCCCTTGGCCTGAAGGAGATTGCTTATCCAAGAGAGACACACAAATAATCCATGGACTGACAAGCCCGAGTTTCTGACTGGACCCCCATTACTTTCACCTCTCATCACCCAATGCAGGCTCCAAAGGCCACGAGCCATTAGGGGGGTCTTGGCTGGTGAGGAGAGAGGGGAAAGGACTTGAGGCACCCACCAGGCCAGGAGCACCTGGGCTTTCACCCTTGCCCGGCTCTAGTTCAAGGCCTTGGGCAAACGGCCTCACCCTGAAAGACTTGACTGTCCTCATCAGAAAAATGGGGATAGACAGCTATCCCTGGCCACTGGAAACTGTCACCACTAAATGAGGGGATGGAGGTGAGGAAGTAAGGGTCTGGCTAAATGTTGGAATTTTAGAATCAAACAGAATCTAAGAAATAACCCAGTCCAATATCTGCAAGCCTCCCTTAGGTCAGTTCAGAGATCATAGCGGGGTTTGGCTTTTTTTTTTAATCCCTCCATCTTCGTACCCTCGGGTAAATAAACAGGGTCTTTACACATAGTAGGTGCTTAATAATTGTCTCTTGCATCAATATTGAAAGGCAGTTCCTTTCCTGAAGGCCTGGATGTGAACCGTCAAGACTAGGCCAGGACTTGGGCTATCCCAGGGTTCCTCATTATCTAACTCAGTGGGTTTCCAGCAAATAGTGGGGGGGCCACAAAAAACATGTGCAATGACATAAGGACAGTGCCCCAGCCCCCCCCCACTAGTTTGTGAAATGCTTTTCTCAGGGAGTTGGGGAGTGAGGGGAAGAGAGGGGAAAGGAAGGAAGGGAGGGAAGGGGAGCAAAGGAGGGGCGAGCAAGCGGAGGGAAAGAGAGCAAAAAAATAATGGGCAGATGCGGGAGGAGGGGTTTGAGGAAGAGGAAGGGGCAGAGGAAGCGGGAAGGAAGGAATGAAGGAGAGTGGAAGAGAGGAATAACAGAGATGGTGGAGGGGGAGGAGGGAGAGGGTGAGAAAGATTCAGAAGGGGGAAGGGAATAAAGTGAGAGGGTCAGAGCGAAGGGGGGAGGAAGCGGAGGTCTCGCGCCCCTCCCTGGGTCCCGCGCTGGGGGTGGGGGGAGCCAAGTTCGGGGGCGGGAGGGACCCTGCTTCGCTCACTCACCCTCCTTGGCTCTCTTCTTCCGGCCCAGCGTGCCTCCGAGCTTGCCCAGGAAGGACTCGTCCTTCTTGGTCCGGGGCGGCCGCAGCGGAGGCCCCGGGGAGCGGAGCGGGGCGGCGGGCAGCGCGGACATGGGGCCGGCGGGGGCGGCGGGGGCACCGGCGGCGGAATGGGCGCGCGGCTGCCAGGGAGCAGGAGCGCGTGTACGAGCAGCCCAAGTGGAGTTGGGGGCGGTGTGAGAGCGTGAGCTCGGTCCGGCCCGAGCCCCGCCCCCATCTCTGGGTCCGCCCCGAGCCCCGCCCCTGCCACGCCCCCGGCCTGGCCAGCCCGCTAGCCCCAGCTGACCTTGACCTTGGCCACGGGGCGCCGACCCCGCCCCCACCGGGGCCAGCAGCTGGTATGGGCGTGATCCCCAAGCCCACACTGGCGGCTGGACACTAGAACCCCCGCTCTGCACCCACGCCCTCACTTTATAAAGGCCCAGATCAAGCGAGCGAGCATTTATTGCGTGCCTACTGTGTGCCACGCCCTGGATCGGGGAGGGGTCTAAAAACAGTGCCCACCCTCCCGGAGTCTAGAGTTGGTCCTCCAGAGAACGCTCTGGGCGCCTAGACCAGCGCAAGCTCTTAACAAAAATGGAGGCCAAAGTCCAAGGTCACCAAGATGATTGGGTCCAACGACGGCCGATGCCCGAGGCGGAATCTTTCAGAAGCGTTCTTGGCGCCTCCCACAGTCAGGCTGATGGGGCCGGACCAGGAGCCCACGGAGCTCGGAGCCTGTGTGGCCCGCGCCGTCCAGGCTGCTTCCGCGGCCCAGACGGCAGTCGGCACTGACTGGGGTCGGGGTCAGAGGAAGGCGTCGACAAGGGCCCTACTGCCCGGAAACTCTGGCGGCCAGCCCGGAGGTGAGATTCAACCAAGTGGCCAGGGGTTCCCTTGTCTGTGGACCGCGGTGCCCCTGGACTGCGAGGCCCTCGCCAACACGCCTGCCGCCACATTCTGGCTGAAAAATAATTACAGCGATCCAGTGGCACCACAGCCCCTGAGTCTCCAAGGAGACTGCCAGCCCCTCATCTGTTCCTCGAGGGTCTGTCCCAAGCATCCCAGGAGTTCTCCCCAGGGCAAAGTACTGAGCCAGAGAAGTGGGTGTGGGGTCAACCCAACTCAGAAGCGCCCACCGGCACACACGTCCAGACTGAAAGGCAGATGGGTGTCGGAGCAGAGTTCCGTGACCCAGAAATCCGAGTCAGGCAAGGTTCTGGGCCATCAGGGGGCCCTGCAGGCTGGAAGGCCGGACTTCCCCAAACACTTGAAGCCTAGGTGAACCACAGTGTAAACCACAAGAGGAAGGTAAAAATCTGAAAGTCAGTGGGGTTAAACCACCAGCAACCCTAACAGCTACCACCAGAAAGGGTCAATTTAGTCTTTTGTAAAAATGGATTAATTCTTTAATTTTTCTTTATTCCCAAAACTTAACAACCAAATGCACAAAATGTTTAAAACTGATCATGCATAAAATCCTTAAGAAAGGGGGACCTGTGGTTTTGTCTCGGTAGGGAGTTCCCAAAATAAAAAATTCCCTCCACCAGCACACATTCTCAGCTGTTGCTAAATTTATGGTCTTAGAACAGGGGTGGGGAGCCTTTGGCCTGGAGGCCACATGTGGCCTTCTAGGTCCTCAAGTTCAGTCCTTTGACTGAATCCAAACTTCACAGAACAAATCCCCTTCAAAAAAGGATTTGTTCTGTAAAACCTGGACTCAGTTTAAAGGCTGCACCCAAGGACCTAGAAGGCCACATGTGGCCTCGAGGAAGTTGCCTGGAGCCCTGAGAGGTTCAGCGTCCTGGGCTCTGGACTCGTGGGTCACCTTGCTAAAGCACCAACGCTCATGGGCAGAATTTGAACACGAGTCCTTGAGTCTTAAATTGCCTAGAGTACTACAAAGAGGTGGAGGGACTTTGTAAGCCCACAGAGCCAGGATCTGTCAGGGGTGGTCCTGACCCGAGGATACCTCTCTTTCCATTGCATCCTTCTGCCTTTCTCATGAAGCCATAAACTGAATTCTGTACAGGCTCTTTTTTAACAAGACATGGGTCGAAAAGGCTGTCCCCACATGTAACCTTGGGGGGGAGGCGGGGCTTGAAGGGGCAGGACAGACATCTCTAGCCTCTGCTCCCCCAGCTCTCCTCCAGAAGAGATTTTCTTTGTGCCAATGGGGAAGCAGGAGATTGGGGGGCTCGAATTCTGGCCCTCTTGGCTCTCCTTAGAGGGAGTCATGGGGAGCTACCATTATATCCATCTGCCAGTGAGGCTGAGGAGATGAATATGGCCTCATCAGATCAGAGATCTAGAGTTCAGAGAGGCCCCTCTTTTAAGAGACGAGCACACTGCCACCGCTGAGATTCTGTGGTTTTGTGGCGACAACAAGCATCTATTAAGCTCTTACTGTGTGCCAGTCACTAGGCTGAGCGCCGGGGATACGCCGAAAACTAAAACATGGCCCCTGCCCTCACTCTATAATAAGGAGAACAATACACAAACAACTATATACAACCAAGACCTAAACGGTAACTGGAGGCAATCTCAGATGGAGGAGCCTCATCTGTAAAATGGGGATACCAACAGTACCCACCTCCCAGAGCTGTTGTGAGGATCAAATAAGATTGTATTCGTAAAACTGCCTAGACAGTGCCTGGCACACAGTAGGTGCTATATAAAGGCTAGTTATTATCGTCATCATCATCATTATTATTATTATTGTTGTTGTTGTTATTATTATTATTATTATTATTATTATTATTATTATTATTATTGAAGGCTCTGGGGTGGGGACAGAGGAGGGCGGGAAGGGCATGCAAATACAAAATAGGTCTCACAAGAGAGTTATGGGCAAAATCTATAAGGCAATAACCACACTGGGGGAGGGGGGCGGTTTATGGGCTTCCCCCGTGAAAGTCTCCCCTTCATGTGAGCAAATCACAGGCTGTTTTAAATAATATTATTTCTAAGTCACTTTACAATTCACAAAACGCCTTCCTCACAAACAGCCCTGTGCATAAGGTAGTGCATTGATCATTATGTCCTTTTTACAGATGAGGAAACTGAGGCTCAGAGATGGAGGGATCTGCCCCAGGGTCCCAGAGCCAGTCAGTGGCAGAATTGGGCTCCACGCCTCGCACCTGGACCCTGTCTCTAACTGAAGTGAGTCAGCAAACGTCGAAACCAGGCACGCTGCATGACACCCATGGGGACAGCCTTCTTCTGGGTTTTGCTTTTGCATGGTGGGGAAATGAAACTATCTATTTATCTCAGGCCTTCTAGGTATTTTGTAGATGGGGATGGCTATTTTCAGAAGTGGAGGGCCAACTGCTTCATTTGGGAGGAGCTGAGAGGGACAATTTTAGGGGTTGGGAGGAAAGAGCAAACAGGATGGGGGAGCCCATGGAGAGCCAGCAGGGCTTGGGATCTTAGGGTCTTAGGATCACTCATCTGGAAGGGACTTTAGAGGTCACCAAGTCCAATGTCCTTATTTCCTGAGGAGGAAACTGAGGCTCAGGAAGGATGCATGGCCCACCTAGGTGTACTACTAATGGCCATCAGGCCAACATTCTACCCTCCTGCTTTCCTGGGGTAGCTGGGAGGGAAAAAACGGGACAGTGGTAAGGGAGGAGCGTCACATTCATTCTCCTCTGAGTTCTGCTGAGAGAATCCATGACAATCCATCCATCTGGGCTGCCAAGGCCTTTTACCAAATTAGTCACCACATCCCAATGAGATGAATCCCAAGGGACCATGCAAATGGGGCTGGGGAACGTAGGGTCAAAAGAAGAGCCTAGAGGTCAGGGTGGACCCTGCCTGCCACTGAGCTGTGGCTTGACTTAGAGCAAGTCTCTTCTCTCTGGACCTCACTTTCCTCATCTGCAAAGTGGGGGATGTGAGGGAAGCAGAGATCAGGGGGACCCAGAGAGGGAAGCAGAGGCAGTGACCCAGGAAAGGATAATCTAAAACCTTTATTAAGCACCTACTCTGTGCCAGGCAGTGTGCCTCAGGAAGGCTGCCAAGCTCAAGAAAATTGGGGCCTAAAGAAGGAACAGGCTGAGCAGGGCCTAGGAGACCCACTTCAGCCCAAGAGACAGCCAAATTTCTAAGCCACAGGCTGCCCTGAGAAATGACAAAACCACAGGCAGCTTCTATCTCAGGCCTCTGGAACCCCGGATAACTGAGCTCTGTGCCCCACCCCAGGGCTACTATCAGAACTTGGACTGCTGAGGACTCAGAGATCTCCACTATGCGTTGGGAAGGCTGGTGGACCACCTTCAGAGTCAAGAAGCCCTGAATTCCAAACCTCCTTCTGACAGGTAGCACCTCTATGACCCTGGGCAAGTCACTTAACCTCTGGGCCTGGGTTCCCTTATCTGTAAAATGAGGAGGGTGGACTTAATGGTCTCTGAGGCCTGCTCTAGCTCTAGGCATACGATCCTATGGTCCAGTTGAGGGGACAATGGACGCCAACCCCTTGATGGTCCTCTGGTCCAGGTGGGCAATTGGCTTTCCCTCCCTTGGGAAAAAAGGCACAGGTCACTCTCTCCCCCTTGTAACTACTGGGTAGGATACTTTTGGATCTGCCACACGGATAGACAGAATGCTGGATTTGGAGTCAGGAAGACCTGAGTTCAAATTCTGCCTTAGACACTCAATAGTTGTGTCACTGCCCCTCTGCCTCAGTTTCCTCATCTGTAAAATAAGGATAATAATAGCACTTAGCTCCCAGGGTTGTTGTGAGGATGAAATGAGATAACATTTGTAAAATACTTTACAAACCTCAAAGCACTGTATAAATGCTATTATTATTATTAAGTATTATTAGGGTATTATTAGTAGGCCATCCCCTGGACTGGAAATTCTCTAAGACTTTAATGTCTTCCAAGTGAAAAGTATTTTGTCTGAACTCTGCCTTTTATTCTTGAAGTCCTAACTTACTCTGGAGTCTCCACTCCCATCCAAGAGGCAGACTGGGGGGGGGGGTAAGGGAGCGGGATCCTGAGCTATTATTATCAGCCTTGGGTTTGGGTTTTTTTCCTCCAAAAGCTGTGAATGAGAATTAAGGAAAACAAAATCAAATTTCTGATTATTCAGAGGAAATAAAATAGGGATGACAACTCCCTTTTCCAAAATGATTTAGGCTTGTAGTAAAGGGGCTTCCTGCTCTAATGTGGGTTAGCCCAGTGCTTGGCATACAGCAGGCACTCAATATGTGTTTTTTTATTCACTCATTCACATGGATCGGATTTAATGTTCTCTGAGGATGACATCTGAGGTTCTGTGACTCTGGAGGAAAGTCTCCCTCACTCCCTTCTCTAAAAACTGTCCTAGAACCAGTCCTAGTTCAAGGACTTAATTTACCCTTTTCTCAATGATTCGGGATGAGTATTACAATGATCAATTCTCTGTAGTCTTCTCCCCACCCTGGAGGAATCTTTCCCTCCTCTGACCTCTTTTATGCCTGTCTCACATTCCATTTGTGTTACCTAAATGACCTGTCCCCTCTGGTGGATCACCCCAGTTAAAGGACCACATCTTCCTCATCTCTGTGTTTCCTTCAGAGTGCACACAGTAGGCACTCAAGAAATGCTTGAATGAATCAGTCATTCCAGTAAGAACTCACATCCACATAGCAGCTTGAGGTTTCCATAATTCTGCTCACAACCATTCTATAAGTTCTTTAAACACAAATGTTATTATCCAAACAGAGAGTAAGTTTCTGGAGGGCAGGACTGTTAGATCTCTGTCTTTCTATCCAAATAACTTCTCACTGTGTCTTGCATATAATAGGCACTTAATAAATGCTTATTGATTAATGCCTATTTTATAGGTGATGAAATTGAGGCACAGAGAGGTTAAGAAACTCTGCCCTGGTCACACAGCTACTAAGCATTGGACCTAGGACTCAGTGGAGTTCTGTTCTTCTGGTTCCAAGGTCACTGCCCTTTCTACCCCATCAGTCATAATTTCTAGACTAATTCAAAATACATTTTAATTAGAAAGACAGATGCAGCTGAACAAGCTAATCTGTCAGCAATGCAAGATGGCATCCATTAATCAAATTTTCTTTTGTCGAGGTCTGAAATAGGCACATTAGAAAGTGACAAGCTCACTGACAGTACACTCATCATACTCCTGTAGAATGTAGGAGTATGTAAGTAAACAATGTTACTGCAACAGTGAAGAATTGAAGCATGAAGTCAGTCGGTGCTTTGCCTCATCTAAGTAGGCAGATCTTTCTAACCAAACAAATTTTAAATCTGGAAAGGCATCAAGTAAAAACAGAATATTCAAAAAGCTGAACTAGGGAAAAAAAATTTTAAGTAGTACAACCTTCGTGTGGAAGGGAGTGCAGAGTACTGCTATCCCCATTTTACAGATAAGGAAACTGAGTCTCAGTGCTATAAAGTGTCATGCTCAAAGTTACAAAAGCAAGGGCTTGTGTCCAGCCTTATGACTCCAAGTTCAATGGATTAATTGTATGGTTCTATGATATCAAGGCTATTTTAGGACATAACTTCTCAGCCTCAGCATTGCTCTGGGTTTTGTTTTGTTTTTTTCTCAAAGATATTTGGAGGTCATCACTCCATCCTTACCCACATCCAGGTAGCAGGAAGCTATTACAGAATCTTTCAAGCCTCCTCAGAAATGAGGTCAGACTTACTGGCATCTTCCCGATACTGCAACAATCTAATTCTTGTCAATTATAGCAGATCATAAACATGGCTAATTTTCCTTCCGGGAAAGGAACAAAACATTTGGGAAAAAAAAATCTTTTAATGTTGGTCTTCCTTTATTGTGTTTGGAAATACTAGCCTCGGAGGAATTCTTTTTAAACTGAAATTTCAGTACATTAATTTTGGTCTTTGCTCTCCAAATTTATCCGATGCTCCAACTATTTCTTTAAGTCAGCAGCTGGTGTCTACAGCCAGGCACCAGCCCTTGACGTTTCCATTTTTCTCAGTCTTCAGTGTTCTGCCCACCTCTGCTCAATGATAGGATTGGAGGGGCCCTATTAAAACCAGCCACTAGAGCCTCTTGTTGTCAAAGGTTACTGTTCCTTTACAAGTCGGGCATCAGCCAGCCACCTGCAGGGAGCCAGCAGCCCTATTGTTGAGGCTTCAGGCGAGCAAGAAGAGCTCTCTTTATACTTCAGAACCTGCCAGTCATTTTGAGCTCTATGGGCATTTCCAATAAAGACTTTCCAACTTTTCTAACAACTTTTCATTTCACTTTTAAATTGCAAGAACCAGCATTATAGAACAATCCAGGAGAGAAAAAAAAGGACTATAACTGTTCACTTGCCCCTCATAGGGTAAACTCAGCATAGTCTAGTGCAAAGAGTCAGAGGACCTGGGTTCAAATGCTGACTCTGCTCCTTTCAGTCTGTGTGACTTCAGGAAAGTCATTTAACTTCCCTGTGTCTCATTTTCCTCATCTGTAAAATGAGACTCTCTAAGGTTCCTTCCAGCTCCAAATTTGTGTCCCTGTGAATAGCCTCCTCTCACCGCGTGTGTGTGTGTGTGCACGTGTGTGTGTTTTAATGGTGCAAAGAAGTGTGAGTTTTCTTATAAGGAAAGCAGGGCAATTGGGTTTAGTTCAATTCAATCCACACTGATTAAGTGCCTACTGTATGCCAGGCACCGTGCTAAGCACTGGGGATACACAAAGAGGCAAAAGACAGTGAGTGCATTCAGGGAGCTCCCACTCTGACCGGAGAGACAACGTGCAAACGCTTATGTACAAACAAAATACAGACAGAATAAATTAGAAGAATCCGCAGAGGGCAGGCGCTAGTGGTAAGGGGACCAGGAAAGGCCTCCCAAGGGAGGGTCAGCATCAGAGGTCAGGGACCTGAGCAGTCAGAGACTAGAGAATTCAGAGTCATGGAGCGAGGGTTAACAGCGGACTCTGGGACTCAGTGGCCAAATTCCACAGGGCTCTTGTGGTCGATGGAGAAGCCAGACACCCAGCAGGATCCGTGATGGGGCTGGTAAATAGGACAGGCACAGAAACAGCAGACCGCATCTGACAAGCTGGCCCGATCTGTGCCCCCATCCAGTGGCTGGAATGTTGGATCCCAGTGGAAGGAAACAGAGGGGCGAACATGAACAGGCTAAATGATAACACCAGTGAGTTGAGAACAAAGACCTCCACTG